GGAAAGGCGGAGGCGAGGGCTACGGGGTGGCCGTGCAGGCAGCAGCATCACCGGGAGGGGACCAGCTCAGGCGGGACCGGCCGGGCCATGGGCCCACCGCAACGACGGGAGCGGGGGAAGCCGACCGCCTGAATATCGCCTGGCAGGAGAGCCCGCCTGCTGGTTGGCCTCGGTTTGTGTTTCGCTTGGTTGGGTTTCTTTCCTCCTCTTTGGGGGTTTTATTGTTTTTAAAACGGAGGGGTTTGCAGTCCCGGCACCCTGGAGCATCCTGCTCAGGCCCGGGCAGCGGGGGACGCGGGCAGCCAGCGTTCCCCGCCTCTCCCCTTCACCCCCGCACAGCGCGCACGGCAGCACCCAAGCTGCGGCGGGGTGGCGGCGGAAAGCAGTGGGACAGCCGCCTGTCCCCGGCTTCCCAAGCAAACCTCTCGGGATAGCTCTCCTGAGCCGCCCTGAGTGCCGTGTGCGCGCTGGCGGACCGCGCTTGTGCCCGCTGCAGAGAACCAGGACGGCTTTTTCTCTTTCCCCGCGCCGAGGGCAGCTACCCCGACTCGGAGCTTTCCCCTTAGCCCTGGCGGGTTCCTGGGGCGCAGCTCCTGCTCCTGGCGCGCTGGTCTCGCTGTTTGGGAAAAGGCGGAGAGGCGGCTATGGATGTTGCAGCCGCTCCGCGAAACCCCGATCTGTCTGTTATTAGCGAGTCTCTCTCGTAAACCATTAAGCACTATTATTATCACTATTGCTATTAATTATCCTTGCCGAACCATGTGTCTCTCATTACAGCTCACCGTCCCCAGCCACATCACAAAGGGCTCACAACGAGCCCGGTCTGGGTCGGCTGGGCCGTCCGCCACCGCCGTGGGGCTCCCACTGAAGGAGAACCCCGAGCCTGGCTTGAAAATAAGTCGGGGGAACCCCGGCGGTGTTAGGAGGGCAATAAACTCGTGTGATTCTACCGGGGGGTTGTAATGTGTCATCACAGGCTATGCCGGCGCCCCGGGCTTTGCAACCTACAAAAACAAGAGAGCCGGTTAACAGAGAGAGGATGTCAGGGCGGCGGGGAAGGCACGAGGGGCTGTCCTGCCATCCCAGCCCCGGAGGGAGCGGGGACCGGTTACCTCCTGCACTGGCCGCAGCCCCGCAGGTCTCCCCGGTCCCACCGTGTGTCCTTTGCCGCGGTGCCCGGGCTGGCCCCAGAAGGGCTCCGCGGGTGCGGAGCGGGCCTGGCGCTGGTGGGGGTTGTCCGCCCACGGGGAAAGGGCAGGGGAAGAGAGCGAGCGTAGGAGAGGGTCAAAGCTCCAGTTCTGGCCAGAAAAAGTGTGCAAGCATCCATCAAAGAGAGCCCTCATGGCCTCAGGGCCCGGTGAGGAGATACCCGCTGGAGGATGCTTGTGCCACCGGCTGTGGGGAGGAACCGTGCGGGTCCGGGCAGAAGCCCGTCCGGGAGCAGCGTAGCTGGGCTATGCCTTCGGCTCCCGGCACGGCCGTATGGAGAGAATTTAATGTCTTTTTCCTTGGAAGGGAAGCCACCTGTGCGTGGGAGAACTGGGGCTGTGGACCTGGATCCCGGGGTACCTCAGCTGCAAGCAGGGAGCGAGGGACTGCGCCTGAAGGCGACCTGGCAAGCCGGGCTTTGGGAGACAGGCAGAAATAAGGCGCTTCTACCCTCTTTTAAGTCTAGAGATGAAAGGGTAGAGGGGAAAAGGGTAAAGAGAGAAAAGAGTGCTCAAACGACAGCGAGAGCCTAGAAGTTGGATTGCTG